CATGTTGTGTACATGATGTTGGGTTTCGGGCTTTGGGTCTCGGCCCTCGGCACTCGGAACTCGATGATTTGAGTAATGTAAATGAAAAATCAACATGTTGCATGCCGGGTTTTGAGTTTCGGGTTTCAGCACTCAAAACTCAGTGATTTGTACAGTGAGTGAAAAATGGACATGTTGTGCACATATTTTCGGGTCTCGGGGTTCGGGTTTCGGCCCTCGGAACTCGGAACTTAATGACTTGTGTAATATAATTGAACAATGGACATGTTGCACACCCGGTTTTGAGTTTCGGGTTTCCGCACTTGAAACTCAGTGATTTGTGCAACAAGTGAAAAATTGAAATGTTGCATACATATTTTCGGGTCTCGGGGTTCGGGTTTCGGCCCTCGGCACTCGGAACTTGATGATTTGTGTAATATAAATGAAAAATGGACATGTTGCATGCCGGGTTTTGAGTTTCAGGTTTCAGCACTCAAAACTCGGTGATTTGTGCAACAAGTAAAAAATGGACATGTTGTGCACATATTTTCGGGGTTCGGGGTTCGGGTCTCGGACCTCGGACCTCGGAACTCAATGATTTGTGTGATGTAAATGAAAAATCAACATGTTGCACGCCGGGTTTCAAGTTTTGGGTTTCAGCACTCAAAACTCGGTGATTTGTGCAATGAGTGAAAAATGGAAATGTTGTGTACATATTTTCGGGTCTCGGGGTTCAGGTTTCGGCCCTCGGAGCTCGGAACTCGATGATCTGTGTAATATAAATGAAAAATCAACATGTTGCATGCCGGGTTTCGAGTTTTGGGTTTCGGCACTTGAAACTCGGTGATTTGTGCAACAAGTAAAAAATGGACATGTTGTGCACATATTTTCGGGGTTCGGGGTTCGGGTCTCGGACCTCGGACCTCGGAACTCAATGATTTGTGTGATGTAAATGAAAAATCAACATGTTGCATGCCGGGTTTCAAGTTTTGGGTTTCAGCACTCAAAACTCGGTGATTTGTGCAATGAGTGAAAAATGGACATGTTGTGTACATATTTTCGGGTCTCGGGGTTCGGGTTTTGGCCCTCGGAGCTCGGAACTCAATGACTTGTGTAATATAATTGAACAATGGACATGTTGCATGCCGGGTTTCGAGTTTTGGGTTTCGGCACTTGAAACTCAGTGATTTGTGCAACAAGTGAAAAATGGAAATGTTGCATACATATTTTCGGGTCTCGGGGTTCGGGTTTCGGCACTTGGCACTCGGAACTCAATGAATTGTGTAATGTACATGAAAAATGGACATGTTGCACACTGGGTTTCAAGTTTCACGCTTTGGCACTCGAAACTTGGTGATTTGTGCAGTGAGTGAAAAATGGACATGTTGAACAATGGGTTTCAGGGTCTCGGGTTTGAAAAATAGCATAATAACAACTTTCATGTTTTCATTATCATTTGCCTATATTGACTACCGAGTCTGATAAGAGACCCCTTGGATGATTCATTGCTCAATGAAATACTACCTGATTGGAAGTGTGCTGGTCATCAGATATTCATTTGTCGACTCCCGGGTCCCGGAACTTGGAAGTCGGTATGGTTGACCCAAATTTGGGTGGTCAGAACTTGGCATCTCATAGGGCAACACAAGCTTCACACCCTGGATTCCAAATTCTGCAAGACAACCTGTGCACCATCAAAGGCCATGTCAGGAGATCACCTGCTGCTCCGGGAACTCAGGAACTTTGATTTATTACCTCCTCTGAGTACGGTTGACCCAAAGGTTGGTAATCGGAACTTGGCTTCTCATAGGGTAACACAAGCTTCGCACCCCGGATTCCAAATTTTGCAAGACAACCTGTGCACCATCAAAGGCCATGTCAGGAGATCACCTGCTGCTCCAGGAACTTGGTAACTTTGATTTTATTACCTCCTCTGATTTGGTTGATGTACAACTACCTCAGCTCCATCGTGTTTACAATTATGATACACATGGGCCCACCCATCTATATTTTATACCACCCTCGGCCCACCCGTCTAATACAACATCCCATACAACACCCTCGGCCCACCGGTCTAATTAATATGCGTCTGGGCCCACCCGTATAATACAATATTGTATAATACCCTCGGCCCACCCATCTAATTTAATATGTGTCTGGGCCCACCCGTGAATGTGATAACAAGTACCTACCCATCTATCTCATACACATCTACCTTAATATATCCATCTGCATAATATCCAACTACCTCGGCCCACCCGTCTACCTAATATTCATGTACATCGGCCCACTCATCTACTCTATATATCCCCTGCATGGGCCCACCCGCCTCCATCGGGAATAATTTGCCTCCCGGCCCATCCGTCATAGTCGAGGATATTTTGATCATGGGCCCATGGTCCGCTGGCCCATATCATACGGGATATTATGCACGTCCGTTCCCTCGTATTATACGGAAATAGGTCACTGTAATATGTGCAACAGTATGTAATGAAAACAAGTAAAGACAGTAATACAATTATGAGTGTCAGGATCCGATACCTATCAATCGGATATAGTTGAAAGTTCACTGCAGAGCTCAACGCATGCATCCGCATCGACCGGCAAAACTGCAGGATCCGGAGTTTCGGCGATGTGTGCAGCAGATGCAGAAGTCCCGACATGGCCGTGGACACCAGTCAAAACGGACGCATCCCATGCGTGAGTCCACTGTCTACCGATGGCAGAGATGTTAGGATCGTCATCGTGATTAGCTAGCCAAGCCGGAAGGTGCACATTCCCATGGTGAGGGGGAGCATACGCAGTGGTGTCGATCCGAGGACGGTGTGCGGTCAGATCATCCATATGATCCCGAAGGGACATGGTTAAATGTCTGAGCGATGACGATGTTGCTTTCCATTCCGAATCCGAGTATCTGAGTTTTCGCTCCAGTACGTCCAACCGCCGCCCAACCACCTCTTCCACCGAATCGAGTCGTTCTTCCAAATTATCGACCCTGTCATTAGTAGCGAGACCATCAAGTCGCCTGCCCAGGTCTTGAATGCTCTGCAGGATGTCCCTTGCAGTTGGCTCACATTCCACAGGATTCACGAGTGCTACTGATTGTCCTTGGGGCTCGACGGACACGCATGAGCCCATTGTTGGGATTGGCAGAACCTCTGCTTGAGCCGGCGCGACATCCATGTACTTCGGCTCACCCGCCAAGGCCAAATCTGAAGCTGCTTAAGTTTTCTGTACCATCAGTGCCACGGCAACACTCACCTTCATGTTCTACTATATCGTCCTCAACTACAGACAATGACCGATTGGGCGGCATGGGCATCTTCCGGGACCTAGTATTAACCACCGTCTTGTTAATAACTCGGGACTTCGGAGCACGCGACTTGGAGCGTCTGGTAGGATTGGCAACTGCCTCGGCTGCCATGGCCTTGGCTTTTGCTTGCATTCTCTCCTGGACACCAACTCCGTTGATTGCACATGTGACCTTCATTTCATCACAATTAGCGCAGGCAAGTCGAATGCATCTGAATTTCTTGTCCGGAAGGACAAGACAGGCCACCCCCGATTTGCTACACTTATCACACTTCTGCGGGTGGTGACAAACGGAAAACTTTGCATGTTTTAGCTAAGATTGGTATGCACAAACTCACTGGCTTACCTCTGCTGCCGTGGCGATAGCAGAATCCCTACCCCATTCAACGGGCTGTCAATATCAAAGTCAGAATCGGTGGTAGGTGGAATGGAGTTAACACACCCTGGTCTCTGCATCCCAGAAACCTCTCTCATCAGCCATCTTGGTCGAATCTGAACGTTCCGGTGCCACATTCTTATCGGAGGGAACAATAAGAATGGTGGGTCACCAGTGCCTGAGCTAGGATAACGGGACTTACCTCTATGACAGAGGCGATGTCAGTATGCTCATTCCGGTCGTCACCCGATACATGCTTGCTTCTCTTCTGACTCGACTTGCCCAACCGAGATGGAGCATTCGGTATGTTCCCCAATTTCACCTCTTCCGCGCCGTTATCTTCCGCCTTCCTCTTCTTCCTGTTTCCGGCCTTTGGTGCTGTCTTAGCGTTCTTTGTCCCTGGCACAAATAGGTTATATTTGGAGGGGATAGAAACTGCAGACACGGGAAGCGGGGTCAGAGGTTCCAGCGCCATTGAGGTGGGAGAAGGCGACGGCGGTGCAATTGCCTGCGAAGGACTATTGACAAAGGCCCTATCTATGGGAAGAGGAGACAAGGTGGGTGGAGGCGCTATGGCCAACGGTGCAAAATGGACGGCCGCATGAGTTCCGGACGATGTCACCAGTTCAGAATCCAAAAGAATGGGAATCTCATCTGCTGCACGAGAGCGGTAGTTTAGCGTCTTGTTGAACCGCGGGTGACCCTTGATTCTCGGATCATTGTCTATCATGGATGTCCAATCCGGCATTGTCTGAAAAGTGCCAGCCTTTGAGCACTCTCGCACAACGGCAGTGCATGACAGTAGCTGCGGGGAAAAGGATGTCGCATTCCCTCCATGAAGTTTTAAGTCTTTCGCCTACGGCGAATGTGTTAATATCGATGAGATAATGAAGTGCGAGCAAGAAAAAGTACTCACCACGCGTCTGGCAATCTCATCCGAGATTCTGAGGGCCTCTGGATAGCCAGACTCCAACAACGTGCACCGCTTGATCAGCAATTGCACGGCCGCCAGCGTAGTATCCAGCGCTTCGTTAGCTGTATCAGCAGGTGTCATGATGAAATTAAAAAAATAAAATGTTGTAGGTTAACAGGTGTTATGGTATAATGGAAGGAACAAAAAGTGGACTTTGAAAAACTTGCACACGGGTCGGGATTTATATTCATGAGTCGGTTGTGGCTCTTTCCGAGTGCTGTTGATGCACGACCCATGGATTTCATTATGACGTAATAGTATGCCACATCTACCATTGTTCCACTACATTGAGTTACCACAGTGGCACCAGTCGATTTGTATTGCAATCATCATCGACTCCCTTCATCGAACCAGACCATCATGACCTTCAAAAAAGTTAGGTTTCTTACTCCCGAAGAGCCATATCTTGGCGATATCGCCTCCACCTGCTCTACCTACAGCAGCGATGCCAGCGAAGACGGTCCGGTAGCGCTAGGGCGTGCTTCTGATAAGGGTCTGATCGACTGGTTGGTCTCTTACGTCCCATTGGAGTTGTGGACTCCTCCTGCATTGTCGAGGAAACCCAGGATGAAAGGAGTTGTCGGATTGGAAAACTATCTGAAGTTTAAAAGTAAGAACGGCTTTGTCTTTGCCAGAATACTAACAACGGTGCAACAACAGAATACGACTTGACAAAATAGTTTCTTACCGACCACGAAAAGCTTAATGATTTGTTCGCACAAAGGGATCAAGGTGAGTTCGTTCATTCGAGAGCAATGATTTTCACTCACCGGACAATGCATCATAGTATACGACCTTTGTTTCAACGGCCACTTCGACGAGATAGGGAGTATGCTGGCCGGTGAGTCTCCCATTAGCCCAAAGGTTCTTTCATCACTCAACAAATGGTGCAAGACATGTATGCTATGGAATGCCAGCAAACATCCGGAAATGTTGCCCGGACTCCGCAAGTAACTTTACCCGGAGGGGAATGTTCCACCTACGCGGAGACAGCACCCGGAACAAGGTATGGCGATTCCTACGACTGCGGATGGGATGATCCTAGTTCGGCCGAGTCAGCGGAAGATCCCTATGACTGTGGGTGGGATCGTCATACGGATGATCAAGGCATCCCGCAATCATGTGGGTCAGCGGAAGATGCTTATGACTGCGGTTGGGATCATCTTATGGATGATCAAGCCATCCTGCAATCGAGTGAGTCAGCAGAAGATGCCTATGATTGCGGATGGGATCATCCAATGGATGATCAGGCCATCCTGCAATCGGGTGAGCCGGCAGCGGATGCCTATGATTGTGGGTGGGATCATCCGATGGATGACCAGGCCATCCTGCAATCGGGTGAGCCGGCAGCGGATCCCTACGACTGTGGATGGGACAACCATATGAATGCGACAGAAGCCTCTTCAAATGTGACAGAGGAATATGTTGGCATAGTAGCATCCGAAGATGGAGGATCGGCAGGGGATGATCCGTATGACTGTGGATGGGCTGCCCCGGAAGTCAGCAGACAAACTGCCACCGGCAGTAACACAGTGAATGCATTTGCCTCTTCCGGTGAGCAAGCAGGTAAATGCTTCCATACATGTATTGTATCATAATGCCTGATTTTCTGTAGAGCATTGGCCGAGGTTGCTAGAAGACAATGAAACAAATGTCTTCGAGCATGCAGAACACTCTATGAGGTCTGCGATCCGAATCTTGCATGACATTCGGCCTAACAATAGTAAGTGTTCAGATTGTAGAGCGACTGCCGTTGACATCTTCGGTAGTTCATCACAATGCAAACGGCATTGCAACAACTGCCGAGCATGTCCTCGACCCCATGTTGATACCGACCTCCTTCGGGACTCAAGGCAGTATAGGGGCTCACACGGAGGCAAGAAACAGAGTGGCGGAACTGGGTGAGGACATTGCAGCTGTCCACCATTTACTCAACGTCCACTGCCGCATTATGACGCAGCTGGATGTCCTGATAGCAAACTGTGCAAAGTGACCTGCCCATGTAGATAATATATCATATCCCGAGAAACAAATAAATGTAGTATATATTTATATCACCATGTGTGTACATATGTATGTATGAAGGCCGAGAGGGCCAAATAACCGCTCAAGTTCCCTCATGTGTAAGCAGATCATCACGATCTCGGATATATATATATGTATTACAGGAAGGAGGTGTAATGATTTCAAATAAATCAGAGGCAAACTTGGCTTGACAAACCAAGCATACCGACTGCACCATCTCGGAAGCTATGACAACGGCAATGTCGGAATTCCAACCGATGATGAAATCGTATGGTCGGCAACGTTGTGATATCCTCAAATTTATACATTTGTAAAATATACGGATATAGCGGGTACACGAAAGGGATTCATAAACATTCAGTACGATTATGTCCGGTACCGAACAAAATCAGCCTGATTGTATCTGGCAAGGTGGTACATAGCGAAGTCGGCCAAATTGTACTTTGCATACTCTGTCCAGGGAGTTCGAGCATGGTTGTGCACGCTATCCCGCATAAACCAGGCCCATACAATTCTATCGCCCTCACTAACCTGGATGCCGTGCCTCACAAGTCGGCCAGAATAGCTGACCATGACGCCCGGATTATAAGCTAGATCAATTCCTAAATTTGTCAGATTCATGACTGCATTGTCATAGCTTCCGATCGAAGTAAGAATGTCAAATCCTTCCGGGGGGCATTTGGGATCACGATGACCCGGCGTGTCTCTGTTGCATACAACAGCGGCACCGGTATATGCCGACACCCAATGTTGCAAACAGCGGTACATCTCATCTTGCCCTTGCTCCGCTGCCCAAAGCCCAAGTTTAACATGAGTGGACATCGAGGCCCGGTATAATTGCAGATGCATCACCCGAAGGGCAGCAGATGACAGGAGAGCCGGCCGCTGCATATCCATAATTGAAGAGAGATTGCTATCGCCTTTAAGGGTACCCGAAACTTCCGGTATGAACCTTTTCCTGGGATCCCGAGATGGTGGGCCTTGACACTACTGTCATTCAGGATGACGTGATTACAGCGAAACTTGTGCTCACCTCCCGCCCCTGTTGGAACCAGCAGGGAGAAATATTGATGCACCCGGGAATCAAACCAGGTTCCATGGCTGCGCGGAAGTTGGAATTGTTGGTCCACCATTTGCTTGTCCTGCCAGTTGACTCATTTCTGGTGGTGATGCTTTTTCTCAACAAGTCCCCCATACCGACTGTGGCAATGAACATATCTCGCTTTACGTGCTTTGGTCAGTGTCATGTCATCTTTGAACGAATCTCCGCCCACCTGCAGAGACCAATTCAACGCACCCGGGAGATACCATAGAATGATCCGGTAACCAGCGTCAATCACCACCGATGGGCTATCTAAGAACATGCGTTCGGCAGGAGGAAACTTTGCCAACAATGCTTCTTCACGAGCGTCATTCAACCCTGACTCCTGTTTGGCCAAGGCCTCGTTGTACCTAATGATATCGATATCCAATTTGACTACATCTGTCAGAGCAGAGTAGCAATAATCAATGCCTCAACTCACTGGGATGTTGATATGCTTCCGCCAGCACAAAGGCTAGGTGTCCGCAAGCAAGCGCAGTTTCAGGATCGAGTTCCGGAGGCGTAGGAACAAGAGGTCTCCCGGCAACATGCACAGCGAACTGCTGCTCTACCCATTTGCTTGCTATGTCGACGGCATTCAGAGCCCAATCCTGTGGAATGAATGACGTTGTGTGCGTATGTAGATCACTCTCAGCCAGTTTTTCATGGTAGGTAGTCCAATACTCATCGGATATCATGGTGGAGGCACGGTAAGTCCTGCAAGCACAGCTAGCATCTTATACGGATAATGTCCAACCTGCGGTTGTCTTTATGATGTAAAATATCACACTCCTCAATATTATTAATAGCAAACACAAGGCATCCGGGGGTATAGGAACGGCGCGTGTCATCCCGTTGTAACATTTTCATAGATGCCGGAGATAGGCTACATAATATTTACATACAAACGAATCACTTTACTACACATAAAATTCGCTTCCGTGACTATTTACATAATGGCTCTGCATCAGCGTACAAAGGGATGTAACTCAGGGAATGGATCTCCACGAGGGGATGTTCCTATCCGACCATTGTTGTAATCCTGCTCCAATAAGGCCACGGCTGCATGGGACGCTGCCATTGCGTCACGGACCTCGTCTACCGGCTGCTCCAGCCGATTCATTGCATCCACAGCTGCTCCGGTGGCCTCAAGCTTACTGACAAGGAGGTGGCCAAGGTCGAGACCGAGTCGGGCGACTTCAGTCCGGAGCACTTGAAGTTGTTGAAGCAGCAGGTCCTCACTGCGTGGGTGGATGATCGGTTCAGGCATCATCAACCCCAAGGCAGGCTGATTATTTGTGCATAACAATCAGCATCTATACTGAAGTATATTCAGGATCACTTACCCGCTGTTTGAAGTGCTCAGCCGTTAGGTCCTTCACCTCGGCTACCGAGAACCGCAGAGGCATTTGCATAGGCAAATAATGGAATGCGGCCGTCCACCAACAGTGCCGGTATCTTGGAACAACGCGATGGCCAGATATTGCATCGCCAGCATCATCATGTGGACAGTTCCGGAAGTTCTCAAAGAGATTGACGCGATCACCTTCTGTTTGGTAGGTAGCAGCAAGCCAGAGAACATTTCTGAGATATGTCGGCATACTTGTATTGATATTCATAGCTGCGCACATGCCGACAAACGGCGTCACAAACCGCTGGAACTCCAGATTAGTCAAGCGGTCCGCACAGGATTGGAAATGAACTTACATCCACTTCCCAAATCAGGTGTTGAATAAATGAATGCCGGTAAGCGCTTGATGGGTTCTGCTTTGTCATCTGGGCAATATGGATCGCAGTGAATCTGGAGGTGGCGTATTCGAACACATGGGCTGCATCCCAAATGGACAACGTGCCGACGCGAGACTCGGAGAGTGCAGGAATCTGGTTGGTCATGATTTCTGATATGATAACAACAGTAGGGAGATACAACCGGGCCTGACCTCCTGGTTTATATGTGTTGTCGGAGATTCAAAATCCACATCCGGTAATGTAATTCACAATGAACAATTTCCATTGTTCAAATGATTGTGCCCGGACCGGTAGATCTAATGCATCCTGAATGACATATATTATTTATGCTACGATCAACTAATAATACTATACATTCAACAATCAAGCATTTATCGTGAACTTTGGATTTGCCTTTAGAAAACTTGCACGTGCATGTTCGGCCAAGTCGTGGTACATGTGGGCCTGCCGAATTGCATAACATTTGTGCCCTTCTGGGAGTGGATCGCCGTTGTGGGTGATGCGTGATAACCATGAGCGTGCCTTGTGCAGGAAGAACTGCACAGTCCAACCCATTTCATGGCCAACCAGTAGCAGTTCTTCCGACCACCGATCACGCAATGCTTTCGTGCGAAGCCAATGAACCCTGTAAACTGTGCCCTGTCATTGATGGGTTAACATAATAAGTGAACCGTTACAGACATTCATTCATCCAATCGCTGCTGACAGAATCTCCCTGAACATCAAGAGACCAGAACCACGGAAGCGTGGAGTTTCTTTGTCCCCGAGCATTGGGATCGGCTACAGCGGCAGTAGCTTTGAGATGACTTCTCTCCATCCGGAGATATTTCTCCAAGAGGTTGTGAGCTTGTAGATTGCCGAGTTGCGCCCGGCATTTCGAATAAATCATCGTTTGCTGTCTGATGACCCTTTCCACCGAATGTACCTGAGTCCACGCCCTGGTTGACTTTGCCTGGGATTTGGCCAGACGAACTGTGGTGCGGAAGAGCACAGCCTTATCAGCTAGCAGAACTCGGATTGCTTGCAGGGTGTCATTGGCCTGCCCTTCCCGAAGTGCAACTTCCTGACCCACAAGGTGGATGACACCCAGCACAGTACACCTTTTGATGCCAATATTCGATGGGAGAGGTATAACCACCTTCTCGGGACGGAAGAAATTGCATTGAGGGACATGGTCGGAATCATGGTCACTCTCGGTAAACACGTCTCCTTCGCCCTCTGAGTCATCTATAAATTCAACCTCGAGATCTCTGATATCGTCATCCAGATCAAAGTCTTCTCCGAAATGATTGACTGCCGTGGTTGTAAATTCATCTATCCTACTTTGCAGCTTTGTACGACGTCTCACTATCTCCAGGCGCTGCGTTTCGGTGGAGTGTTTTCCCAACCTCCGGATGTCGATCAAGAGAGATATTTGCAGCTCTTCTATAGTGATACCGGATGCGATCCACGTAGCAGCACCGCGTTTTGCGTGCCCTCCTCCGTTACCGGTCCGAGAAGACAGTAAAGCCAACTCTTGCTGTTTCCTGGTCGGTGCTATGAACATTTGATCACTGATGGTGCAGATTGGACGTATATCGGCCATGACTCACCCTTTTGCAGCTGGACGTCGAATATGTCCATTGCCGATGGATCTGTGCTTCGATGCAATTGTGCTTCTCGATCTTGTTCCACCCAAGCTTCGACCATGGCAGAATCTGCGGTTTCATTCAGCTTCTCAAATGCCGTCATGCTTTCGGACACTCCCTTCACTGCTTCTCGATATTTCCGACATAGGAAACCACCTGGAGAGCATTAGTATTAGATATGTAAGGAAGAATATATCTCAACTCATTCTGATCATTTTCATAAAATTTGAGTCGTTCATTTGGTAGTCAAGACATTCCTGTCGATGGGGAGTGGACATCCCTCTCAGAAGGTAATCGTCCTTCCGAGCCATCCATTCCCGGAGATAATCGTTTGGGCTCTGAGATCCTGGTCAGCTTTGAACGGGTGAAGAACGCAGAGTATCATACCTTGGTCTTTTTTTTCGCTAACAACACGTTAAGCGAACCAATAGGGCCATGATCACTCCAGTCTGCATTATGGAAAGTGAAGTCAGGTGTGTACTGAGGGAGCGTCGTACTGGAGCTTTGTTTTGTGGGAGACTTTGTTGGAGATGACTGTGCGGATTGACTTGGCTGGTGTCGTTTCACCGGACACCATTTGCCTTTCCGGCCCCGACTGGTCTTTTTTACTTTCCATTTGACCAGCTGAACTGTTCTGGGAGGACTCAATATCCTTACCCTAGATTTACCCATGAACGTGGTATGAAGTTGTGTGAAATATAGGACAGTAGAATTACAGCAGCAACCTCTGCTCGCTTAATAGCCGAAATGAAGGGAGGGCACATAAATGCTCTTATTACAAACATTTAACAAACACACACTCACCATCACACCCCAGTACATCCTATCACTATCCTCCGTAGTATATAATGTCTGATCACGACTCTGGCTCTGAATCTGAATCTAACAAACAGCCTGCGTTAAATGAAGATGAGGTCGCTATCCTGCGGTCCTACATTGAGCAATGGGACTCGGCTGAGGTATCGGACCGCAACAAGGTCTTGAAAGCAGCTGCAACTGAGGCTCGGACAAAGGCTCCAGTGATGGGTATATGACTGCTGAAAGATCGCAAAGCGGTGAGTATTGTATCATTTTCAGCACCAAATAAGCTTTGATGTTCGGTAGGTCTACGAGACATGGTTCCGAAACCAAGGAATGAAGAAGAAGCCGGCTAAACCCCCTATCAAGATGGGGCAGAGATGGACCGAAAGAAGTGTTATAGACACCCTCCGGAAGAAAGAACTATTAAAAACAATACAAGACGAGACTGGAGCTAAGCCAGGGATGAAAGAAATGATCAACCATTACACCAAGCAGCTCAACCTCCTCATTGCATCCTTGTCCCCAGAAGAACTCAAAGAAGCCAAAGAGACGGCTGATATATGGAACTGTCAGGGTGTTCCGGACGATGTCAAGTCCGACATTGCCAGGAAAAAAAGTGATGACATGATTCATCATTTCGCAACCGAGATGTGGAACCGGGCGGGAATGAGGGTCTTTGTTGTGTCAGCTTGGAAAAATGAAGAGGGTAAGATTCATGTGCCGGGTGAGTGATCCAATGGATGCAATCAGTAGCTTCTCACATTTCCGGCAGTCACGACTATAACAATGAATATGGTGGTGCCGACTCTTTCATGAAGACTCGCAAATGGGATGCCATCCTCCCGGAATGGGATTCATATGCAGAGAGCGCATTTGGTAGAGTCCTAAACCGGCTTCCGTGTAGCGGAGACTGACGAAAATTAGATGGTAACTTGGATGGCGATGCAGTTGCAACTCGCAAAAAAGGTCGACAGGACAAGACTTACATCCTTGATGTTGGAGACGACGGATATCCCGTGCTCCCTGCATGTGATTCTATGGATCTGGACACAAAGAAAGCAGTCGTGCGCACATTTTTGACTTGGCATTACAGTAGGTCGCTGTTTGCCTCTCGGAAGTAATCTCACTGTTAAAAGGAAAATGTTGTGGGGATCCAAAAATTTCAATCCCATGGAAGTATGTCATTCCTAGATGCGGCGAGATCATTCCAACAGAGTGCCTTCCGGAAGGACACAATCTCGCAGAGCCTTCAAAGTTAAGGCAGATCCATGCCACGGAACTGCTACAGTTCTGGTATAACCGACAGGAAGAGCGCGAAGAGCGCGTATTGGAATTTATCGGTTGGTGGGACAATGATAAAGAGGATATGGTGCTAGCTGCAGACATGGAAGTACCAGTGACAACAGCGAGAAAGAATAAGAGAAAGCTCAAGGAGATGTCAGATCCGCCAAGGAAGCAGGCACGTCCACGGCAGCAGTCTCCAGCAGGACGATCGCAATCCGGTATCAATGTGAAGACAAAAAGGGCCAGACAAGAGCCGGAAACGAACATCCAACATGGAACCGCTGCTTCAGGTCGTGCACAAAAGAATCATAAGGTGAAGAGGCCATCAAACAAAGAATCTGACGACACACAAACAATCAGCGACGAGTCCCTTGCTGAACAATCCAATGGATCGGAGGATGATATTCCTAGTGGCCAAACGGCGATTGTGCCAAAACACCTTAGAGGTCGTCCAGTCCTGATCCGTGGTAGCAACGACTCCGACAGCGAGGTTGAGGAAAATATTTGTGAAAAGTCTGTTGAACCCGCACGAGGCAAAAAGGGTGCATTTCCGATCCAGGCCGCTGCTATTGATATGAGATCATCAAAGAAGGGTGCAGCGGTTGAGAAGCCAAGAGACGGCCCTCCGAAGCATGTGCAAAAGGGCCCTGACCCTGACCGTTCGGCATCCGCCGTGACACGCAAAGCCATTGCACCAAGGCAGCGGATGGCAGATCTACCAACGGAAGCTGGTAGATCGTCTCGTGAGCGCAAAGATGCTGTGGTCGGCGCAAAAGCTCGAGGGCAGAAAAGGACTGCCGAAGAATGTTTGGAAGGATCTCCTGCTAAACGGAAAAGATGTCAAGGAGTTCAACAGGATAAAGTGGCTTCAATAGAGGCTAAGGAGAAGCCAAGGAAGAAACGGGTTGAAGAAGCTACCAATGGGTCACCCTCCAAACGGACGAGGAGTAAGACTTCACAACTTGCTGCAGGCAAGCGCTCCCGGAAGCCGAACTCTCGGTACAACGATTATGTGAAGCCCTAAGGCATTTCGGAGTGTTATGACACCCGCGCCTTAGATGGTCGAGTTCTTTGTATGTCCGGCCCCCTTGTATTGCTCACTAGCTCATTTTACACCAACATTGAAAGTTATTTGGACTAATTATATACTGCAATTGAGTCAATGCATGCGAGGCTGCCGCTGCTCTATACTGGTGATCATGGCATCTAGTGGGTCCATTATCCGGCAGTGAATGTTGAGCAAACGGTGAATATTAATGACATCTGCACCGAGTTCGGTCACCCGATCTTTGGCATCTGCGTATGCACCAAACAAACTTCGATTTGCCATGAATGTGATTGCCAGCCGAGGGTCAGGCACACGTGCGACCGCTGGTGTGACAATGCTGTGTATATATTGATCGACTGCCTCATGTGTAGGTCAGGCGTGATGGAGCTGCAAGATCAACATACTCACAGTCATTATGTCCTATGCTATTTAGTCGTTGGATAGCTCGACGCATGGACTCTTCGGCCTCCTCAAACGCATTGGGATCAGCTGGTGAAGAGGACCACCCTGTATATATCGGACATTAGCAAAGAATGCAGCAAGTCACATATGACTTACTTGAGGTGGCAGGTAAAGATGTAAGGTCTATAACTTCTCTCCCCTCTGGCGATGTCAGGTCAATGACATCAATTTCCTCTCTCATCTCAGACACTTCCGGTTGCTCCTTGATAGTTGTGTTATCCATCGGATCGTCCCACCCACAATCGTAAAGATCCTCGGTGCTGTCCTTTTGAATGTCTGGAAGTGTGTTTTCCATATCAACGTCATCCACTTTGAATGAATTTATTGAATCCGACCTAGACCGATCGGTGGGAACAATGTGCCGATTTGCACTATAGTCCCCATGTTCGTTGGAAGGATCCTGAAATATCCTCGGCAGTTGTGGTCATCGCAAAGTCCTGCCGCCCGCATCCATATGTATATCGGTGCTATCTCCCGTTGTTGTTGTTTTTTCTGGCAACGAAGCATCATCCTCCCATGCGCAGTCGTAAGGATCGGCCGGCGATGACTTTGAGAGAGCCGTCTCCTGGACAACCGGATCATCCCACCCGGACTCAGTATGAACGATTTCCCGCATGTCTCAGTTGACTAACATTGTCAATAGAGTGTGACAAATGAGCCGTATCATCCGTGGAATCACGGCCTTCCTGGCAGGAAGGGTTGATTTTATACCTCTCCTCTGGCTTGGATTACATCCTGTGAACCTCGCAGTTGGGAGTGCAACAACAAATGCCCACTCACTTTTCTTCCGACTGAGACATTCATTGCTGAGAGCTTTCGGTATCACTATCCTCCCATCCGCAATGTATGGGTCGCAGCAGC